AAAACTAAACAGTAATATTCACTTCGTCATTATCTACATCTTTAATTGCATGCACGATATCACCAGATCTGGAGCAAAGAAGGCAGGATCGATTAGAGCGAAGTTCGGTCAAGAGAATCTATTCAAAAGAACTTCCAACCTGGAGTTTTTTCTTCATTATGTAAAAGGAGGAATAGCAGCTGTCGAAACGCCGATTTTCCAACTTCTAAGCTCTATATATATCTCAGTGCAACTCCAATGTTGAAGGAAAGGACAACTACGGTTTTGTAGAGCAGGAGAGTACTCTAGGCGATACACATATGTTTTAATTTATACGATCGGAAAAGCTACGATATTATGCTCCAACCCAATACATATGGTATGGGCAATCTTACGGGAACGCAAACAGTGTGTAAACAAAAGTGGTAACAATCGAGGCTGATAAGGAAGGTTAAGATACTGAGCACCATCATTTTCACTGTAGTCACAGCAGAACCTTAGCTCATACTTTTGCATAGGCGGTTGGACGGAGACACTGGTGAGTGGTATGAATTGATGACATATTATAAGGACCAAAAAGTGGAATCTCAGTGCAAATGGCTCCAACTTTTCGCAGTTAGCAAGCGATCAATATGGCGGGATATTGTTAGTGAGTGAGAGAAAGTGGTGAATAGCGAAAACTTCACTGACAGAAGTAGCGACAACTTAGTGTGCCCGCAGTCGAACCAAACCAGGTGCTCAGCAAGTGATGCTGGTCAACTGCTCAACAATGCTAAATGTTTACGGAGCCATGTTAGTTACCATTTTCATTCAATTTAGCGGTCGAATAAGTTTTGGTTCTCAAAACGGAATGCCCAGTATTCATTATCGTATTTATTCGAGCATCCCATTCATCCTCAAGAACTCTAGGTGTAGCGGTCGAAAGGTGTTTGAGTTTACAATTACAACGCTAATGAAATGATCCTACTATATATAATCGGCTAAGCGGTTGTGTGTGTGTGTGTCTGACCGGAAATTCATAACTTCACCCCCTTTGGACCCAGAGCGCTCAAACTTCTAGGATATATAGGGGGCCGGAGGTGAACACTGATGACGGGTGGCGGGAAGTGATAACTACTGATAGGAGCTGATAACGGACGTCGAAATGTTGATGTCACCAATTTCGTTACGCCGTTCGCGTTGACAGGTGGAGAGTTTGCACTCATGTATGATATGTGGGGTGAGGCGGGGACCAAGAAGTTGAGTGAACGAATGTGGTAGCAACTGATAAGAACTGATAAGGGGCGTCAAAGTGTGGATACCACCAGTTTCGTTGCGGCCCTTGCGGTTACATTGGAACCTTGGCTCTCACATGTGGTATAGGGGATGGGACGGGAACACGGATAGCGGATGATCAGAAGTGATAACAAGCGATAACGGTTGATAAGGAAGTTAGGATTTTGAGTACTGCTAATTTCGTTGCAGCCTTCGTGGTGACAGTAAATATTAGCTCCTACACGTTGCGTGGAGGTTGGGACCGGGACACCGATTGCGAACAGTATGAACTGATAACAAATGACAAGGAATGATAAGAGCGTTTGAATGCAGGTCTCTACAACTTCGTTGCAATTATCACTGGCAAGCGATCAGAGTTGCCAGGGTTGAACGTAGGTGACAGAAGTGGTATGGCGGCAACTGTTTTTGTGCTGATAAAAATAACGACAGTTGAGGTGCACTCAACTGAACTAAACGAGGTCCCCAGCATTTATCTGAAGAAGCAACGAAGTTGAGCTGCTCAACTATCTGAACTTGGACCATGAGCAAATATCCATTACATTTCATCATAGCTCGGTTAGATGCTGATTGATTGGTTATATTTCACATACACACCGATTCTTCAATTGTGGAAATTTTATAAACCGCTAAATCATCCGAACTCGATATGAATGCTAAATGTTTACGAAGGCATCGATATGATAAGTGCAATTTTCATTCCGCGGCGTCGCTAAAATCTCTGGTTGGAGTCATTCCAAGGCATAACAGGTGTCTTGAGAGACAAGACGCTTTGAAATGCAATGATGAGGCACTGGTGCTGCATCAATGCTATCCGGAGTTTCCTAATACGATTTACTCTAGCCGCGGGCAACCATGTATGCAGAAAGGGATATCGTCCAAGTTTGCGCGACGTCAGAAAACCCTTGTGCCATGTGAGTATACCCAGCAACCGAAGGGACTCAGACCGCGCATACGGATGCGTGCGGCGAGAACAAAACTGACTCGATGATTGATGATAACATTATGATAGAAATTTCCTACTCATGTTGACAGGTTGGGTGGTGTGTAGATCAGGGCCTCACGTTCGTAGGCATATTGTTCTAGTCAACGTCCTCGTCAGGTCGTTATCAATGTTTGTGACCCCCCACAAATATGTTTCCTGTGCACCTAATCTTTATCAAAATCAGCTCCTAACGACCGCTGCGACGCGTGCTATGAATTCCGTGACACACACACACATACACACACAAACAGGCAAACATAGCGTTTTATATATAGTAGAGATAAATTATAACTATGGTTTTTGTATGTATTTCGAGAAAGGAACAACACGATTCAGCAAAAGATACTTTGTTTCAGCTAATAACATTCGTGAGTGATGTGACGCACCTCATCAAAGATGCAAGAATGGGACTCATTTCTGTCGGATGCCCAGCATCGACAAGCATTCCGATAGGGAGTTACACAATGACAGAATTCACGTAATTTGTAAAATATTTCATTGATTATTACTGCACCAGATTAGTCCCCCGTCAACCGCCGGGACCTTCCTTTCCTGCGCAAGCTTTCTATCCTCCGCTATGGTCCCTTCCTCCTGTGACACCAACACCTCCTGGAAGTGACGCGTATGCAACACAATGGTGTTTCATACAGTAGAAGGGACACAATCATGATATGACGGTAGATTTTTCGCTTCCCTTCCTCATCCTCCCTCTCTCCACTGCCCTCCAGCTGCCACTGCAGCACCATGTGGAATGAACGGAAGTGTGCTAAGCAGGTGTTTATATAGCCCTAAGAGTGTTATCACAACTATCCTGCTACAAAACATTGATATCTCAAATCCTGTAAGCTACCCGATTTGTTAGCGGTTTGTTTATCCCATGAGCTTCCTTCTCACTCACTTCATTTTGCGGACGGACACACATACATACACACATACAGACATACAAACCGACACACAAAGTTAGCGCTTTATAAAATAGAAGGATTCTCAAAATCCGAATTGATGAGAGCAAGTAGTGGAACTATCCAAGAACCAATTTGTTATCATATCAGCACAATCGTATAACATTAGTGGACCTGTTGTCCTGCCTAAGATATTACCTACCACGTCTTTTCTTACCACGCTGCTTTTCGATAATCACTTCATCATATAAACCAGAACTTTGGTGTGTCGGTTTGTCGGTGTGTGTGTCGTTCTGTCCGTCCGGACCAACCGCTCACAAAACCAGGGAGTACGAAGGGCAACACTTCGTGATGTTGATCATGATCATGATAACACCCACAGCGGCTATATAAACACCGATCGAGCACACTCAGTCTCATTCTACATGGTGCTGCCGTGGCAGCCGGATGAGCGGGGGAGGGTGGAGGGGGGGGGTAGAGGGAAGGGGCAAGAAGGGGAGGCTGGCGCGCGGGGAGGAGAGGGGAGAAGAAAGCAGAAGGAGAGGGGGAGAGGGAGGGAAGGGGGAGAGGAGAAAGGGAGGGAGAACATGGTGCTGCCATGCGCCGGAGAGAAGGGGTATAAGGAGGTATAACACATTCAATAGTGAGGTGGTTAATGGAGTACGTCATGCTGCTATTCCGTGGTTCCTCCCTACCTTGTGATGCGCGCGATTGCGCGGAACAAAACTGGTATTCAACATGTTTGGTTCTCATAGTTTGCACTGAGTCAATCTTTTCAGGCATTTACTGAATTCGTTGAAGTATCCCAACGGTAAACCTGAAATGTTCGCCGCTTTTAACCTTGCCAGGGATCTTATATATGTGAGTACATTCAAATAAAAAACCAAAAGCCAATTAAATCGAATAGCAGTACTGGGCTGCCTGAAGTTTCTGTAATCTCTCGAAGCTGCTAATCTTTACAAACTGAGAGCATCTCGTTGAAGTAGTAGTCTGGCGCTAATAAGTCCCACTTGTTTCTAAAGTCGAACTTTGGCAATATACACGACTTATTCCGGCCCTTACGACTCCCACAACGTATATTTTTATCTACCACCCCTGCTCAAGCAAAGTTGTCGGCGTCATAGTCATGAGAGACGCGAGGGGGGGACTGCAGGCATCGAGGACGAAGATTGAGCTTTATATGGAAATCTACTAATCACCAACACTATTTTTCGTGGACCTGCACTTCCACATGGTCTCATGAATAGAAGAGTGAGATGGGTCTAGGTCTCCGACATTCTCCTACATTTGTCATAGTGCAGCTCACCAAGCACTGTAGTAAGAATGTGGAGAGGCTCCTGAACCAATGGAAATCGTCGAATGCGATTCTCCTGTTCAAGAAGGGCAAGCGCGACCAAGTAAAGAACCAGGCCTCATTGACTCTCACAGTCATGCAATCTTCCATGAAAGTCCTCTCAGAAACCTGAAAAATGGACTGCCAGCCAGTGAAAGGCCAGGCTAAGCAAGGGCTTCTGCTGTCTGAACCATAAACTCAGCTGTCTAGCAGACCAAGGAATACAAGCACCGCTCTCTCCTGCTTTATCGACTGTGCGAAGGTATTCGACAATGAGATGATTCAGTTTGGAGACCCAAAGCTACGATCAACCTGTTGGACTAGCAGATGCATAGATGTAGATTTTTATCGCATTCATTTCGCATGTTCCCCGACAGCATTCCGTAATGCGCGGCAGCATGTGCGGAGAACGCAAAAGAGATCTGATGGCCGGAACATCTGGCAGATTTTATGTGACGGTTCGGATGGCGCACCTCGCATGCCGTTCTGGTATCCCCATCGAAACTTTGCGACACTTGCATGGTTGGAATCAATATCCTAAAGAAACCTTAAGACACTGCATGCCAGCACTGCACAGGCAAAACAAATCTGGGGTTCGTGTTCACTGGAACGATTTCAAGAGTGCTAAAATGTAGTGCAGGGTTTTTTAAGTCTTTTGTCGTCGGTGGGCATTCAACACTGCATTTAGGGTTCAAATCTTGCAGTGAAATGGGGAGCACGCGACCGGCTTAGGCAATAGAGAGGGAAAAATTTAAATGCTAGGTCTAGAAACAATTGAGAGATTTGAACGGCTAGAACAAACAGTAGGGCCCATTTTTGGCGGCAATGCAAAACATTTCGCATTAGACGTATTCTCGGGATCCTCTCTTCTGTGTGCTGTTTTCCCCGGACTACTGTTGTTCGTACTGTCTGGCCTTCTCTTCTCTTGAATTACCTTCCAAAACGTTCACACTATGGAAGGATCATAAACTACGACATTATTCAGAAGGTATTTTAGATGTTGCCTTGCTGTCTTGAAGAACGACTTCGCACGCACAGTGTTGAATCTTAGTCCTTCTTCCTTTACGGCCTATCCGGGCCCTGGCAAAGGAGGCGCCCCTTTGGACTATAGCGTTCCGTACTTTCAACGCACGAACGCTTGCATCCGAAGCTCACATCGAAGATCTGATGATGCAGGCCAGGAAGATCAAGTACGACGTCATCGGACTGACCGAGACGAGAAGGCACCGCCCGCTACACGCCGTTTTCGATACTGGAGAAGAACTGTTCTATACTTACGCAATTTGGCCATAAACATCGATTCGCACGAAAGCCTAACGAGCCGAATCGTATGGTTGACGGAATATCATCAATCATTCTACACATCTGTCCACATTCTAATCGTTTCTGCGCTAGTCACTGTTTGCACATTTTTAGCTCCTCTGCTCTATCCCTTCAGGCTTGGCGAAAACGCCCATCATTTGGTCAAAGACCTCTGCCACATACGACGCAGGGTCAACCGTCCGTTGGACAAAGTCCAACAAGGGTGTCGTATTCGGCCCGCCGAAAGGAGGGGGGTGGTATTCACAAGGATCAACGTCTCAATACATAAGAGGAAGGCGTAACTTCCGAGCGCTCCTTCAACTACTAACCACAAACGAGTGCACGGCGCAACTTAGAGCAGAAGAATCCACTGCAGTAGTGTCCATATGTGACTATTCACGTACACAAATATGCTTCTGAAGAAACCAATGTCTTCAAACTGAACCTATGTTAGTAAAAGGTGACCGCTTGGGTGGATTGACTGCTAAAGGCTTACAATAAAAGTTTGGAGAAGTAAAAATTTGCCTGTCGACGCGCTCCTAGAATAGTTTCAGTATACGTTGTGAAGCACAAAGGTTCTGTGATCTTGTGGTATCATTACACCCCGCAAAACTGAGTTTGAAGAAAGCTGTGAATGTTTGAGTGTTTGAAGGACGAATTCACGATCAGAGGGAAAATCGAATTAGGAAGAATTCACCTGGTTGAGGGACCCGCGGAGCTCCTAAGTGTGCGAACTGAAGCACAATTTGCACAGGAGGAGTTGACCTCGTTGACCTATTAAGGTTTAATCCCGCCGCGGCTGGTCAGTGCACGCCCACCGATCATCTGATCACTCGCCGCAGGTCTATACGTGGTGAGTGATTAGATAGGTGAGAGAGCGTAGCGTTGAAGAGGGCACAGCGATGATAGTGCGCATCAATGCTCAAATCAACGGGCAAGGAAGGGGTCCCATTTCTCGGGTTCTGGGCCGTTTCTCATGGTTCTTCCTTCTTTCGTGTACCACTCACCATCCCTAGGTTAATTTGAAATGGGTTGCTTTTTCATCGTGAATTCGTCCTTTAAAAACTCTGTTTTCAGGAGAGTAGCTCCGAAAATTCGTAAAAAAAACGGTCTAACGGAGGAGTTTTTGAACGGGACATCACGGGAGCTAGTTCAAACACTCATCAAAAAGCACTAAACTTCTAGTTTCCTTCCAGGTAGACAAGAACTGCAAAAAGTTGAGTCTGAAGAAAGTTGTAACAGTTCAAAGCCAAAAAACCAGCGCTCTGCTAAAAATCGGTCCGCGATTTCCCCAAAACGGTCCAACGGGGCGAATTTTTGACTCGAGTCAGACCTGAAAAGAAGTCGTCCTAACCTTCTAGTTCATTTCAGGGGGACAATGATTACAAAAGGTTTTTTCTGAAATAAGTTAGAGTCACTGAAAGCCAAAAAACCCGGTTGTGCACAAAAAACGGTCCAACGGAGCGATTTTCGAAGGAAATAAACTTCGCAAGAGCTAGAGTACTTTTTAGAAAGAAAACAATCTGTTGTTCCAAAATTTTCTTTCCACCATTTTCTTATTTGAAAAAATTTACAACTCTTCAAATGATGACATGCGCATCTCTGTGGATTCTACATCTCTACCCCATAACTAAAAGAGTTCAGGAGATACAACATAATCGTGGTGGTTTTCAGAAACTAGCACACTTGTAGATTACAAATCTACTTGGTCCTTCGAAGAACATTGACGTTGAACAGAATTACACTCATTTGAAAATTAGTAGCTTGCTTTGGTCAATTCGGCCCAGTAGAAAATTGTGCGCACCAATGCAAACGCACCTACCGCGCTCAATCTGGTGTAACGCTCGAACAGTAGTACGAAGTAGTACGCAAACACCTCATAATTACGAAGTGTACAGTACATTATAAGTGTTTGGGGGGGGGGCGTATCGAGACTCGCCAAAAGGAAGGGGTTGTAGAAATTTTCGAAATTGGTCCAGCGTGACGGTTGGCCCTGATTCGACGCTAACACAGCCGACCAACTATCAAAAACGTCGCCTAAAAGGGCCGCTGATCTTATCGTGGGCTCTTATGCGTGCGCATAGCTATCAAGAAAAATAGCACAATGGGAATACCCTGTCCGCATTCGGTTTTCACCAGAGAAAGAGCAAACCAAAACCAATACAACTGCAATGAAAAGGTCATGACTTGATCCAAGCTAATCAACTCTCTTACATCACAAACATCTCGCTCCTGTTTAGGCTGAAAGAAGCAAATGGCAAACTATAATGGTTTTTTCAAATGCGCGGTATTCAACCCAAATCTGTCTCAACTCGAAATTAAGGGAAGATGAATTTACAATTGCGGATGAGGCAAGCTTTCATTTATTGCTATGAGCATCATTTTCCTTTCCGATTATGAATGATCAGTGGTACTCATACGACTCAAGCAATCGAACCTTTTTAGACACCGCTTTTGAATGACTTCATCTTTCAAGTTCTGCACCAGATGCAAAGCACTTGAATAAGCCTTTGACGTTTCTTGTTTTTGAGATTGGGATAAGGATAAGGATAAAGCATTTGCCGTTGATCAATCCCTTTTTGGGATGCGGCACGCATTCTACTTCCATTTGTACATTCGCAGTGGCGTTTGAATGCGATGTGGCCTATACAATGACTTGCGGGGGCCAGCCGATGTTCAAGTCAGTGTTTTTATCCTCCCAGACAAGTCTGGTACCAATTAACCGACCCCGGAGGGATGGAAGGCTTGGTTGGCCCGGGCGACTCACGACCCAGGATTTGATCCCCGGACCGCTCGCGTGGTAAGCGCGCCACTTGTCACTACACCACTTCCGCCCTGTCAATAGTTTGCTAAATAAAAATGGTTAACGATAAAAGAAAGATGCTTTTGAGATTAGCTATTCAAATTTCGCAAAATCATGATTTACAAGAAACGGTGCTTCTTCTAAGCAAGTTGATTTCTGGTCGCAAATCGTCGAAAAGTACCACTCCAAAAATAATCCTGATTTACCTATCTTCTTGTTCAAATCCATGATACAACATTTCGTTATCCTATCTTTCTTCTATGCCTTTCTGTTTTCTGACAGTATTGCTTTGTAGCTTCGAAGGAAGGTGTAGTGACACTTTTCATCAGTTTTGAAGGGAAGCATGGGCATTCTAACGAAACTTATGCAGCAAGGCTTGCTGGGTCTGCTGAAAATGTCATTCAAGTTGATATCGACAAGCCTGCTTCTGTAAGTTAAAAAATGGGGGGTTATTTAATCAAACATCTGTTCCTAATGAAAATTCTGAGTTGCCACTTTGCAGAGAGATTTCGCAAAAAGCGTCGATTTAGTGGACGACAAAATGAGAAACTTGTGTTTCGTGAGCAACCGGCCAACTGTAGATCCGACCTCACTTCAGACATACAGGTGCCCTTCGTAGCCTGCTTTTGTGATCAATTCATGTTGAAAGCTGACTATTGAAGTCAGTAATTTTATAATGGGCGTAATTAGGAGCAACACGAATGCAGTATGCTACCAAGCTCATCCGCTCTCTACTACGCGCGTGGCATCGGAGGCCTCGATGAAAGTGGAGAGCCGATGGAGCATTAGGTTGGTAGTCAGGTGGTACCACTGGTAAGATTAAGTTGCTTTGTGAAATGGGTTAGCTGACTGTCCGCTTGATACACCGGTGCTGTACGGAGCTAAGTGAATCTCTGTAAACAACCACCATGCATTGCATGTCAGAACAATTTGTCGGTTGAATAATCCCCGGCGCCTACGATCTTAAAATGTGAATACCCAGTAATTATTATCACATTTCTTGAAACATTCCCCGTAGGGACCGTTTTAGGGCTCTAAGGAGAGTAGTAATGGTAATTTCTGAAGACGACAACGCAAATAAAATGGTGTCAAACTGGATTGCCACGTCGTTGTGGTCAGTCCTTATCAGCCCTCATCACTTCCTGACCTCACCAAATACGTTCCCGTCTCATACTGTACATCACTTCTTGAAACCAACGCCCTACTGGTACCGAGACGCGCGTGATGATTTGTGAGCTTGCGTTCTAGCACCTCTTATCAGCTCTTACCAGTCGTTGTCACTTGGATTCTATCAAATATGTTCCCGTCCTACCCCTGCGTGCCTGCTTAGAATGGCACGCGTCCATGCTCGTAAGCGAGCGCGCTACTGAATATCTTGACAAACGACGTACACACACAGGCACATGGTCATGCTTAGTTGATTCTTAATACATTGGGTTCCAGAAAATCCTGCGACATTTCGTCCAAGATTTTTGATAACACATTCCTTTGCTAAATGAAATATTCATTCAGCAAAATTATCACCATTACCATATAGGAGACGTACACTTTTCGCGGGCACTTCTTAACTTTCTTACTTTAGCTTCCAAAGAAGCGATCGATCCCTTTTCGAGTGACCTCAGTCATCGGACTTTTTATCTTCTAGATGACGTTTCAGGGCACTAATTATCCTATAGTTAGAGAAGCGGCTTAGCCCGACTAGTAAGCCAAGTACTGCGAAATTTCCAAATCAAATCCATGATCTTTGATATATAATCCTTTGTCACATTGAATATGCGTGGGGCCGGGTATTTTTAGTATTTTTTTTAGTATTTATTACATGCCCGGTATGGAACATGTGAAGAAGAAACATATAAAACAAACACAAAACATGCTTGTACTTAATACACTAGTAGTGTGTATGGAACAAAACTTAAAAAGTGATAAGAAGTGTAAAAAAAAAGAAACAGAAAATAGAATTAACATACCAACAAGAAAAACAAGTAACAACTAGCTATGATCCTTGAGATACTGGGAAATTTCTCGTCTCATGGCGGTGAGTTTGAGTGTAGAAGAGTTATTTTTGCTAAACTTAACGTACTCTGAGCCGGCTCTATGAGTAAAGAAATGTCTGCCAAGTGGAGTCCTGACCGGAGCGAAGCATAGTTTATTTGAACTACCTCTTGTTCTAGAAGATTGAATGAAAATAGTCACACAATGTTGCAGATTTCGGGTGAAATTCACGCATGGCTTCGGCAAAATCTTAAAAAATAGTTAGAGCCGACAACGGTCATCACCGCTATGCAGGCACTCAGCAGCTTTCTGTGGAGAATCATATAGCAATTTCTCTAGGAAGTTCCCTTTAGGCAGCTTCACTCTCAGTTGAATCCGGTATAGCTCATAAGGACAGCTCCCCTGAACTTTAGCTGATCTCTCCCTTAATCTTCATTTGCCAGAAAATTCCTTTGCGGCGAAGAAAGAAAAGACCATAGCCACACACTTCGCCTCCCCAGATTGGTGCAACCCATGTGGGACCATGCTGCCCTGAAGCCAAGAACGTAGGGATCCTCAATAACTGTCAGTTAGTGCACCTCAGCGTTGTTGCTAACTCACGACTGGTAGCAATCGGCTGCGCCTCTGGGAAGTTGAGCAAATGCTCACCATTCACCACCTACAGCCGACCAGGGCAGTGCTTTACTTTGAGTCAAATATCTCCGGATGCGAAGCCTTAGGGACAACGGGACACGATGGCCTGCTGAACGAGTCACCTCCTGAATACAGCACAGATACTAGCTTCAACGCATGCAAGCAGAGTGGCTTCCTAGGAGCTCGAGAAATAAAATATGTCAAAAGATGGCTCAGTTCAGAGAGAAGTTTGGAGCTGTAAAACGCTGCTTGAAGCCTTCATGTACGCTTCTGCTGGAACCTTCAAAGACACACTACAGTAAACAAATGCAAAAACAATATGAACCTCTAGCATCCGCGAGCTAGGTAACGCGATCACGACTTTAGCGTTTTGACGCGCATCGGCCCTTATCAGTTGCAACCACTTTCAATCACCTACCAACAATGTCCCCGTCCCACCCCACATAACACTTGTAAGTATGGACGCTCTAGTGTCAACGCGAGCTGCGTAACGGAATCGACGACTTTTGCGTTCTGACGCGCCTTATCAGCCCTTATCAATTGTTATCAGTTTCTGGCACCCACCAACAATGTCCCCGTCCCACCCCACATAACACTTGTAAGTATGGTTGCTCTGGTGTCAACGCGAGCCAGGCAACGGAATCGACGACTTCAGCGTTCTGGCGCGCCTTATCGGCCCTTATCAATCGTTATCAGTTTCTGGCACCCACCAACAATGTCGACCCCTAAACCCTTGTAAGTATGCTTGCTCTGGTCTTCCAAAGACACACACAGTACAACAAATGCCAAAACAACTGAAAAGGGTTTTGATTTTTCAGTGAAATAATTTGTACAAAATGTCGCACGGCATTTTTCAGCGAACCACCCACACTATATTAGGTCCTGTCTCATGAAATGGTAGTTTTCGCTTCTTTATCACACAAAAACGTTGTCTATCCTAAAGCCCCATGTCTTCACTTCCGATCGTCATAGACCATTCCAGTGGAGATTCCGTCTGCTCTACAAGAATGCTATGTTCTTCTTCCACCTCTGTTCCATGGTTTTCAAATTTTAGGCCTGCGAAATGGGAGGTCCCGCCGACAAAAATTGACCAAACCGACAACTAGCTCTAACTTTATTTTCCCTGGGGAGAAATCAATCAATGATGTACCCTCTACTTACTCATGACCTCTTCTGAACATTCCACCACCCTTGGACAATTGGTCTGAAAAAGCTTTTCTTGTTTCTTTTTGAATTGGCTGGCCTATAAGCCATAGCAATTTTCAAATTAAAATTGTTCCGCGTAAACGCCATTGTTTCTTGTCAAGCTGTATTCCTTTTGTGAGCATTTATTCTGCTCTACTCGCATCATTTGTATTTCGTGTTTAGTTTGTAATCGGAACTTAACTCTAATTGGATGTTAGCAATAAGGTGTTGTATCTGCGATATTGACCGCATTTCTTCAAAAAATTATCCCTGAGAATATGAGAAAATCAACCAGGCGTAGATTTCTAACTTAGTCATGACTTGTTCTTCGAATTCTACTAGTTCTTTCAATGTCTGAGCTATAAAACAATTTCAACCTAAGCGGCACGCGTAACGGCTGCTCGACCGTCGATTATGGATCTTGAAAAATCCAGGTCTGGAAATGGAAGACGACGACACGTAGTGGAAAACCTAATAATGGGGGAGTGTGCAGATGAGGTCCAATATAAGTAAGGATACCACTTGATCGACCTTCGCCTAAGGAAAGATTAAGGTAGAGATGTTGTCCGGTCTTGCTCAGTGAATTTTTTCGCGGCTGGACTTCCTCCAGTTCACAGAACCTGAAACTCTAGAAAATTCGCTGGAACGGAGGGGAAGAAAACAGCTCTCTATGTAGCTGCAGACCAATTCGTTCCTAACTGGCTATTATGGAAACCAGTTTTGCTCGCCCGCTATCGCGCGCATCACACGGCAGGCTTTAGTGAAACTGAAAGACCCATGGAATATCAGCATGAGGCCCTCCATTAGCCACCTCACTATTGAATGTGTTAGACCTTTCCCAGTTCCGCTGAAGTCCATCGAGAATACGCGTGATAACGTCTGGAGCTGAACTGGCATAATTATCTCACAACTGTAAACATCCAGCATTCTTCCTTGAATTCAGATAATTTAGCGGTGAATAGGATTGCCAGTCTCAAAATGAAAACGAAATATGCCTGTTTACATAACTGAGAAACTAATGCTTATCATTTATTTACATTCATTCATTATTTAGACCACGGAAGGATTAGCGGTTCAATGAGTTTGGGCTTTCTTAAATAGTCAGAAAATGAAACTTATCATTTTGCGGCAAGACCTGTTTTAAAAGTGTTTGCACGTCGCAGTGTGTCAGTGGGTAAGCTTGGACTACTACTTCCGAAATAATGTGCACATACCTTTGTTTGTACTACTACTACGACTTACCACAATTTGTAAGTAGGAACACTCTACGTGTCAACGCTGCGTAACGGAATTAACGACTTTTGCGTTCTGACGCGCCTTATCAGGCCCTTATCAATCGTTATCAGTTTCTGGCACCACCCACCAACAATGTCCCACCCCACATAACACTTGTAAGTATGGTTGCTCTGGTGTCAACGCGAGCCAGGCAACGGAATCGACGACTTCAGCGTTCTGGCGCGCCTTATCGGCCCTTATCAATCGTTATCAGTTTCTGGCACCCAC